TTAATTGTTTGATCAATTGTGCATTCCTATACCTGGTAATCTGAACAACAAGTTTGAAGATAACAATATACAATATAACAAAAACTGTTAACTTCCTATCATCTTGTTTAGAAATTCTGTATCATTTTAATTGTTTTTTTTCTTAATTTTATTCCTCTTTAAAATAAAAAAACAACAATTAAAATCAAAACAAACCAGACCAGCCAAATAACTCAAGGGATGGCCAAATAGCTCAGCAGATTAACGCACCTGCAAATATTTTCCAGAGAGTTCAGATATTTCCCCAGCCTTCAAAAAATTCTGTGTTTGACTCAACTATAGTATTTGCCAACATTTCAATAGTCTTGGTTGAAAAGGCTGCTAATATAAATATCACTGTTTTAATTATATTTGTCTTTGGGTGGTGCCTATGCAACCGTGTTCTACAATTTATTTCTTCCAGAATCCAGCAGCTTTCACTGATACATGACCAGTCACCACCTAGATCTGCTGTGTAATTCTATCTAAAGCTTTTTGGCCAAGTTAGTTCTCATTCATCATCCTAAGAAAAATAGCCACCCACTCCTAATAATCAACAAAATCCCCACTTCATCCCCTGTCGATGATTTAACCTTGCTGATGATTCCTCAGGGGAAAATATGTGGTCCCTGCCCATTGACAATAAAACCATTAAAACTCTAAAGGGCATACATTCAGACAAACCAATCTGTTCTAGGTAGGTGTTCATAAGAAAACAACATTGCTAAAAACAAATATTTGATGTAAGGCCAATTCATACTTCCCAATAAGTCCTGACTCATTTTCCCTAAGGGAAAAGAGCTTAGCTAAGAAAGAGTAAGTGAAATTGTCAAATTGTAACTGTAAATATAATATTAAACACAGAGCTATTGTTTGCAAAAATATATACAGTACAAAGTGCTAAATGATCCATGTAATCACACTATAGATAATTATAAAATACTATATAATTCCAAAGATTCAGAAAAATGTTTCTGAATTATTGCTTACAATGAATTAATAAAAGTTTCATAAAGTAGATATACATTTTCTGAATTTTAATATCATGCACTACATATATATGTGTATATTATAATATAACACATGTATAATATGTATATTAAGCATACACCAAATAAATATCATTTTTGATATGTTCATTAAGAATAAGTGGAAAAGGAATAAAACAAAAGTAAAACTAGATTTCCAACTAAAGTTGGTAGGAAAAATATACTCAAAGTGTATTACAAAATTAAAATATGAGCCTACAAGAAAGTTATTTTTATCATTTTGAGAAAGAAAATACTAATATGTTAAAGAAAGGATACAACATATGCAATAAAAACCCTAAAAGTAGTGACTAGAAAAAAATAACCCAGTTGTAGGGCAAAGACATTATGTTAAAGGAAAACAGGTTCAAGAAAATTATGAAGTGTTTCTCCAAGACAATAAGTTTAACAATACAATTCAATAAACAGCAAAACTATGTCCAGGGCTGAAAATGTCATGTCATATTAAAGGTCACTAAGAAATAGAAAATCAGAAAATATTGTATGCCTGACATTGACAAATTCTAATATTCAGTTAATAAGTGGAAAGGACCATTCATGATGAAATCATTCCTCTACTGAGTAGATTTCTCAGAGCCCCTTTCATATCCCGATTCCTCAGACTGTAAATAAAGGGATTCACCATGGGTGTGACCACACTGTACAACACGGTCACAATGACATCTTTGTCATTAGTGTTATTAGATGAGGGCAAAAAGTAGATCCCAATAATTCCTCCATAGTAGAGAGAAACCACACAAAGGTGAGAACCACATGTAGATAAGGCTTTACAGATTCCCTTGATTGAGGGAGCCTTCAGTATGGTGGCCCCAATGTGGCCATAAGATACCAGAATACATATAAATGGCAGGGTTATGACCATGGTTCCTACAATGAGAATGACCATTTCATTGGTGGTGGTGTCTGAACTGGAAAGCTTGAATAAGGCAGAGAGGTCACAGAAAAAGTGATGAATAGTGTTATCTCTAGCAAAAGAGAGGAAGGATAGTAGGATGGTATGCACAAGAGCATTGACAATGGATAACCCCCAGGACACAATTACTAGCAGGAAGCAGCGTCTCTGACTCATGATGGTCATGTAATGTAGGGGATGACAGATGGCCACATACCTGTCATAGGCCATTGAGGTGAGAAGAAAGCTGTCAAGACCAGCAAACAATGCAAAAAAATATGACTGGGAAATGCACCCAGCATAAGAGATGGATTGACTATGTGTCAGCATATTCATGAGCATCTTTGGAGTGGTGACAGATGAGAAAGAGATGTCGGTGAGCGCCAAGTGGCTGAGGAAGAAGTACATGGGCGTGTGGAGGCGGGAGTCCAGCCTGATGAGCAGGATGATGAGCAGGTTCCCCAGCACTGTGGTCAGGTACATGACCAAGAACAGGGAGTAGTACATGCCCTGCTCTTCCAGCCTGATGGGGAGCCCCAGGAGGATGAATTCAGACA